ACTCAGCAGGCAACCTGGGACATCGATGAATTAATTTCCATGTGTGCACAGGAAGAATTGAGGCTGTCAACTGGTAAGGTGAAGACTGTAAATCTTGTTCACACTGCAAAAGGCAAACATGTTGTTGATCAGTCATCTGTGGCTACTGGTAAGCCGAAGAAAACCTCAAATTTTTCTTCTTTTAAAAATGCTAGCCCTCTTAAACGATCTCAAAAGTTTAAAGTCACTTCTAAAGCACCAAAGCCTTGTTATTTCTGCAAAGAAGTTGGTCATTTAAGAAAAGATTGCCTTGGTTTTAAAACTGGCTCGTTAAGAAAGGTAATGAACTCAATGTTTATGTTTGTTTCGAGTCAAACCTTATTTATGTTCCTCCTTTTAGTTGGTGGTTTGATACTGGCTGCTCAATTCACATCACAAATACCTTGTAGGGCTTCTCAAAACTAAAGGAGAGAAATAATGAAGTTTACAATGTTTATGTTGGGAATAGGAGCAAAGTAGCAGTCGAGTCTATTGGCAGTGTCTCTTTAAAGCTTTCTTCTGGTTTCATTTTGTTTTTAAGTCCAGTACTTTATGTACCTTCTATGCGAAGGAATTTAATTTCAGCTTCTAAGTTAGTTAAATCAGGTTATACTTTTATTGGAGACAATGAAAGTATAAGACTTTTTCATTCAAATAAATTGGATACTTTGCTCGGTTATGCTCCCCTCTATGTTGATATGTGGCAGTTAAACTGTGAGTATTTACATGAATGTTTTACAGTCTGTCATATTGGTTCCAAAAGATTATTTCAAAATGATGATTCCCCTACACTTTGGCATAAAAGACTCGGCCACATATCCAAAGAAAGACTTACGATTTTATCAAAACAAAACCTCATACCAAATCTTGATTTTGATAAACTCCCAACTTGTATCGATTGTTTCAAGGGGAAAATGACCAACACCCGAAAACTAGGATCCACTAGAAGCAGCTAACTTTTAGAGATCATACACACAGACGTGTGTGGTCCTTTTCCAAATAAAACAATCTATGGAAATTCATGTTTTGTCACCTTCAATGATGATTTTTCCAGATATTGTTATGTGTTTCTAATAGCTGAGAAGTCTACGGTCCTTGATTGTTTTAAAATAAAAATATACAAAACTGAAGTAGAAAACCAACTTGAAAAGAACATTAAAATAGTGAGATCGGATAGGGGTGGTGAGTATTTTGGCAGGTTTACAGAAATTGGACAACATAAGGGCGCCTTTGCATCGTATCTTGAAGCCTCAAGAATAGTTGCTCAGTACACTACTCCAGGTACTCCACATCAAAACGGAGTGGCAGGAAGAAAAAAACAGGACCCTGAAAGATATGATTCGAGCTATGTTTTCAAGGTCTAAACTTCCAATTTTTCTGTGGGGAGAAGCACTCAAAACAGCCAACTATACACTAAATAGGGTGCCAAGCAAGGCTGACAAAGTTGTACCTTTTGAAGCTTAGACAGGTAGGAGGCCAAGTTTCAATCATTTCCATGTCTGGGGATGTAAGGCTAAGGCACGGTTTACAACCCTAAAAAACGGAAGTTAGATCCAAGAACTGTAAGTTGCAGGTTTATTGGTTATGCTGACAAGTCTAAAGGTTTCAAATTTTACTTCCCGGATTCCTGCACCAAAATTCAGGAGACCAATAATTCTAAATTTATTGAAGATTTGGAAGAAGGAATAGTGCAACATAGCAGCTCACAATTTGAAGAAGTTGGGGATGACCTTGATCAGGTTTCTGCAACAATCAATGCACTGCCACTGGTGGATCAAGAAGGTTCGTATTCTCTTCCCATTATTCTCCCAAGTGCTCAGTCAGAAAGTTTCTCAGTCATCCCAGAAACTGTGCAACCACCAGTACCTGAGCAACTAATTCTTGAGCCCATAGTTGCTCAGACCTTGCACCAAGAGCAACTACCTATTAGACAGTCAACTCGGCAAAGGAAACCTGCGATCCTACCAGATTTTGTGTATTTACAAGAAACTGAATTCAATATTGGAGATGATGATGATCCTATCACTTTTAACCAAACCATCAACAGCCTGAAGGCAGATTTATGGCATGCTGCCATGACTGAAGAACTTGCAGCTATGGAAAAGAACAAGGTTTGGACGTTGGTGCCACTCCCATGCAATGCCAAACCCATCGGATGCAAGTGGGTGTTCAAAACCAAAAAAAATAAAGTGGGAAAGGTTGAAAGACATAAAGCTAGACTTGTAGCTAAGGGTTTTACACAAAGAGAGGGCATAGACTATAATGAAACCTTCTCACCAGTTTTATCCAAAGACTCCCTGAGGGTGATTATGGCCTTAACAGCCCATTTCAACTTGGAATTACATCAAATGGATGTAAAATCAACTTTCCTTAATGGTGATTTGTTTGAAGAAATAGTAATGGTTCAACCCCCAGGCTTTGTGGTGAAAGGGAAGGAGTCCATGGTTTGCAAACTTAACAAATCCATCTACGAGTTAAAGCAATCATCCAGGCAGTGGTACATTAAATTTGATCAAGTTGTTTCTGTTTTTGGTTTTGAAGAAAACAAGATTGATGACTGCATATATCTCAAGGTCAGTGGCACGAAATTTATATTTTTGGTATTGTATGTGGATGATATTATCTTAGCTAGTTCAGACTTGACTCTTTTGCACATCACTAAGACCATGTTAACCGAGAGTTTTGATATGAAAGATCTCGGTGAGGCGCATTTTGTTCTTGGTATTGAGATTGAGCGAGACAGATCCAAGAGGATGCTGAGGTTGTCTCAAAAGTCTTATATTGACATAATCATGAAAAGATTTAACATGGAGAAGTGTGCAGGTGGCGAACTCCCAATTGCAAAGGGTGACAAGTTTAGCACTGACCAATGCCCTAAAAATGACCTCGAGAAAAATGGAATGAATGACAAGCCCTACGCATCACTTGTTGGTAGCATCATGTATGCTCAAGTATGCACAAGGCCTGATCTAGGGTTTGCAGTTAGTGTTCTAGGTCGTTTTCAGTCTAATCCTGGAACTGCTCACTGGACTGTAGCAAAGAAGGTACTGAGGTACTTAAAAAGAACAAGGAACCTTGCCTTGGTATACTAGCAAGTTGAGAGTTTGGAGATGGTGGCTTATTCAGATTCGGACTTGGCAGGTTGTGTTGATGATAGAAAATCTACAAGTGGATATATTTTCCTTTTTGCTGCTGGTGCAATTTCGTGGAAAAGCTTCAAGCAAAAGGTGATTGCCTCCTCAACTATGGAGGCTGAGTTCATTGGTTGTTACACTGCCACCAAACAAGCAATCTGGTTAAGGAACTTCATCATGGGACTGAAGGTTGTAGACTCAGTTGAGAAACCTATAACTATCTGTGACAACAAGGCTATAGTCTTCTTTTCTAGAAACAACAAGAGGTCCATTGCTTGTAGATTAATGGACATTAAGTATTTACGCGTGAGGGATGAAGTCAGAAAAGGGCTGATCAACGTAGTTCACATTGGAACTAATTTTATGATAGCAGATCCAATGACTAAAGGCTTACTAGTGGGAGTGTTCAAGAAACACATCTACAACATGGGAATGCAAGAGGATTTTGATTCTGTTAATGAGTGGGAGTAGTAAACCCATATCTAGTTCTGTTATGTTTTTGTCGATTAAATTGGATGCTTTCAAAATATTTTGTTCTCATGTTATGTTATGATAATAATATGAGCCATACTTCTGTATGTGGCTCAATTCTGGAGTTGAATTATGTTTATCAACTTGGAACTTTTGAATTTTTGCCAAACAACATAGTGCTTATGGTTTGAATATTTGTGATGATAAAATGCACATGTAGAAGGAATTACATACTGCGTTTTATGGTTCAGTATTTAAAGCTGACAGGTTGTTAAAGGTTTAGTTGCAATTTCTGGGGACTCAGTGATCACCTTAATCTCAACCGAAGTAATGTTATTCTTCTTGGACACTCAAGTGGGAGAATGTAAGTTTGTGAGTGTCAAGGAGAATGACTTCTAGTTCTCGACCAACCTGTAATTCAGTTTGGAGTTATCACGTTGAGAAGATTACGTACTTACTTGGTTGAGATTGGGAGTCCTAATAACATGCAACTATGTTCAAGGAACCTTATCATGTTTTGACAAGAGTTCCTTATGGAATAGGACTATATTGAAACCCTAATCAATATAGAATATCTGGGTATCAGTTGATAGGCCTGATATCAAGGATGGTTGGCTATATATTAGGAGGTCCCTACACTCACATCATTATTCCATTACGAGCCGTAACCCTATTCTAAGCTTGGAACTTCGGGCTGTTGAGTGTAGAAGATCTCCTCCTTATCTTCCTTATGCAATGGCGAGTTCTTCTCCAGGTAAGCATATTTATTTTATGTATGCATCCTTATACGTGCGTGTGATTCTATGCATGCAGGGTTTTAATGGCTTACACTCAGATCCTAATTTGTTGGCTTGTAATCATATTATTATCAAAGATTGGAATTTTGAATTGAAGTTATTTACCTGCAAAATAGCGACTAAATTTAACACGATTACATTAATGATTTGATTAAGTTGGATTTAAATTCTGTGTTAATAATGTTGTGCAATGTGCATGCATGGGATTCAGGGGCCTAATAGCATCCAGTTTAATTTGATTTCTGTATCTGTGATTCTGTGTTCGTTACCTTTTTTTCTTAGTTTGGGGTCTGAATTAATGATGTTGAGATTTGTCCTTGTATTTGGTAATCGGGTTATGCCAGTAAATCGCATTTGCTATGTCTCAGTTTTGTGTGTGTGTGTGTAAATTTCAATTGGGGAATATCAGCTTAGATCTTGACTGAATCATTGCATAAGTTGTTTCATCTTGCAGCATGGAATGCACAGACTGCAGAGATTTTCTTCGCTCTAGGGTTTTGACACCCAATTTATCGAGTAAGAACCAACTTTGTCCTTAACAGTATTACTAATTATCAAACTATATAAATTTCCCAAAAAATGAAGTGTTGAATGATCATAAAAAGAACACCAAATAGTTTTACAAATGATCCAAAAGTTGAACACAATAAATGGCCAGATAGTTCCAAATTGTGTTTCGCACGTAAAAATAATCAATTACATCGCTGCTTTATTTTATATAGAAAAAAAGCAAATAACTTTGCGTGCAGTTAGGCAAGTCTTGTTCATTTTTAGGGCCTTGGGGGCGAACATTGACCGATTGGAAGGTTACTACTGCTTGTAGTATGCGAGAACACTATATACGGTTTGCGTGGCAGTAAGAATGAGAACAATGATGACCGCATTTGAAACTGACCAGACTGACGAAGGATTGTATAGGTAATTGTTCTTGATCCTTGCAAGCCAACGCCTTAGCCAACGTTCTTCATAATATCCGTTCACCTGTCCAGCGAGTACAGGGTAAGAGAAGGAGATGCGTTCAGTGTCATTGCAAAGCCTGTTGAACAAACGAACAGTGTCCTCCTTGCTCAACTCGGTGTATATAATATTTTTCTGAACGAGTCTCTCTAAATCTTTGGTCGACTTGATAAGGTGGTTGAAGAGCATGGCATAGGACAAAAGGTGACTTTCTTGGTGCCTCACTGCACCCTGTTCGTAGGCTATGAGGTTTCTCAAGACAGATTCTGTGTTGACTTCAATTATCATTTGTGGAATTTGCATCACTCCATCGATGGCGTCGAAGGTTATGTCCAACCGAGCTCTCTCAGGGGGTGCAAGTTGAAATCTGACTCCAATTTCCTCAAGATGTGTCACTGGGGGAATAGGAGTCCAATATTGATAAGTGTCTGTTGTTAATGATCCAACAAGCAAATCTCTTACTTGATCAAGATAATGCCTTATTTCCCTCGTCGCCGTTGTCCGAGACGTAATAAAGGAGGCTGGGGCCCAAAGTAAGTTAATATTAAATTTTTGTAGGGAGGGATCTCCTGGTTTTGCTGCGAGGTTGAATAAACAGAGGACAACTTTCCACGGAAGCTGGTTTTCAAGCAGCAACAAGTCCTTTTTAACTGCCGAATACACCCGTGGCACTCTGAAAACAGGATCATCATTGCCAGGTTGTTCAAACCTATTATCCATGCGGAGGAATCGTATAATAAAGCAACCATCGACCACCATCATTTTCACGAAGTCATAGCTATTCAGATCAAGCTTTTCGTTATAGCAGCTACGAAGGAACTCTTCCATGCTTCTAATTGCTTTGACCAACTCTACCAAACTCACCAAACTGGTGTCTGGAGTTGGTTTGCAGTGGAGGAGGCCTTGCAAATACCAGTGCTTAACTTGTTCCATGCCTTGCAACTTTTTTCCTCCATGGTGATACGGCCCGATTGAAACCATCTGTGGGACAAAAACATTTTCATTGTCCCTGACCAGTTTCTGAGGGACCCTAAATATACATGTAGGATTTAGTTCAGGAAGTTTCTCGGAAAGCTCTCTTTTGATCTGGGATGCAAATCTTTCGTCTTCATTTTCTTCGTTTCCGCCCAAAGTTTGGTTACCCGCATGACTTGTTTCTCCCTCAGATCTCTCTCCGCCCCCTCTTACTTGAATTTTGGAGCCAACACTGTTTGCATTGCTCTCACCAGCTGAGTTTGTCATCGTCAACTCTTTCCAACTCTAAACGTGACTCACCTACTTTAGTATTACATATTAACAGGAACAAAAATTACAAATAATGTCAGTACTTTAGTTGAACTACCATTTATTATTAGAAACTTACAAAAATTTTATACCATAATAAAAATAAAAAATAAAAAAATATGACTTTACCTCTTGAAATTCATCTTTTTTATTTAAAGACCCACCTCAATATTTATTTTTTCCATACCAAAAACTCATTGACTAGACCCCAACTAAGAAATTCATTAAGTTTTACTTCACCCAATTTGTATTTTCGGATGCCTAAAATGCTCCTAATGGCATTTTGACTTTGGGTTTATAGCTTATTATCTACCTTTGTCTTACGACTTGTTTCGCACAACTAAATGTACGCATAACTAACTTATGTGGATTGAAAAAACAATATGTATTCAATGTCATGATTCAAATGCATATTAATGACCTGATATTTGTTGTAAATATTACCTAACTGTGATTGTCTAAACCCCTGATAAATTTGGTTTCTAGATTATCCATTAGTCTGGTGATTCTTTTCTTATAAGATCAATCTTGGAGGAAGCGGATGATGTATTGCAACCTACCAAGGTGCCATTAATCTTTCAAGACTTTTGGGTCCAAATCAAAGGATTGCCAATAAATTTTATCACTCGACAGATGGGAAGACTCATTGGCAATCATCTAGGGGAGTAGGTTCTGGCAGATCAAAGCAGGAAAGAGGAACAATTTGGAAGTATACCGCGGATCAGGGTTCGTATTGACGTCCATAAGCCTCTAAGGCGTTGTGTGGTGGTCAAACTTGATGGTAGATTATTGGAAGTCGATGTACGCTACGAGAAGCTGCCCCTCACTTCCTTTCTTTGCGGTTGGATGAATCATATTGAAGGGCACTGTGAAAAATTTACAGGCAAAATGGAGGACGATAAAGCTAAACCCCACGACAGATGGTTCCACGAGGATGTAATAGGACCTGAGTATCGAAGGCCAGTTGGGAAGAAGTTTGGGCTGGACTCGGAGACTGTTGAATATGTGGCCGAATTATCAACTCCTTTGGGCTGCGGCAAATTAAAATAAGAAAAGTTTGTTGGACATCCTTATGAGGAAACATCATAATGATGCTTGTAAGGAAAAAGAGAAGGATGGTTGTTTTATTCGGCTCATTTTGAAGGCCATGTGGTGCTGCAGCCACCGAAGCAAAAGAAGAGAAGTGGTGAGAATGGTTTTCGGGGAGTGGCCTTTTGTTGGTAAGTGCAGCCGAAAGAGGGCAGAAGAGGAGAGAGAAGACAGAGCTTTTTGTTTATATTAAGGCATTTGGTTTTGAGGGGGGAGCACAGCAGATGAGAGCCATACCAGGGAGAGCCTAAACCCATTTGAGCTGCTCCTTCCCTCCGTTAGTAATCACTCAATCAAAGATATTGGTGTTATGTTGTGTAGTTTTTGGGAGAGAATGATTTTGATGTGTTTTTTTCTTCTTCATTTGTTAGGTGTATGTGAGATTTGGAATTTGAGAGTTAAAACTCTATTTGATATTAGTGAAATTTCCTCGCTATCTCTAAACTGGACGTAAGCTTATACCAAACCAATATAAATCTTGTGTTATTTGGATTACAAGAAAATTTCGTAAAAGTCAACCCATGAATAATATAGAGAATAATATAGAGAATCTTCAAAGAATATTCTAAGAATATTTTAAAGAATATTCCAGATCCATTTTGGAATTGGACCAGGCTGGAACAAAGGCCCAAAGGTTTGGGCCGGGTTTGGGATTAGGTCTTTTTTTTTCTTTTTAGAAAAGGATCTAGGCCAGTTTCGCGGATCCGGGTCGAAATCTAGCCCACAGATCCGAGTTAAGGGTTTGGGCCGGTTTTCGGTTTGGGTTTATTTATTTATTATTATTATTATTATTTTTAAAAGGTTTGGTTTTGCAGAAAGAGGTATTCATCAATTCCCCCCTGAACTTATGACTATTGACCAATTTCCCCCCTCAACTTTAATTTTGGCCAATTCCCCCCCTCAACTCTCATAATTAGTCAATTTCCCCCCTCAACTTTAATTTGGCCAATTTCCCCCATCAACTCTTATAATTAGTCAATTTGCACCCTCCTGTTAATTTTTTTTAATTTTCCATCTATTTTTTCTTTCTTTTAATCTTTCTAATAACTTCCAACAAAGTACTAAAATTAACATAAACTCACCTGCATAATATAGGGTAAAATGTACAAAAACATAATACAATTAGTATGTGATATGGGTTGATTATAAGAAAAAGTTATGAATCAGGTTTAAAGCATGTAGAAGAAGAAATAATAATCCTAAACTCATGGATCAGACCTATTTCAATAAAATGGGTTATTCTTAATAAGGAGTCGAAAATTATGAATTGACTAGCCATTTTTGCACTAAAGCTTGATTCTCCGCAATTTACTTGAACTTAGCTTTCACTTTTATAAAGAAAATTGTATTCACATACAAAAATGTACACATCAATCCTTTTCGTTATCAATTTTGTGTAAAAAATCAAATAAAATTACTTCATACTGATTTATTATGACTAATAATACTATCTATGATAAATTGTAAAATTCTAAATTTTAATCTATTTGTAATAGGATAAAGACATAGGAAAATGATTAACATACATCTTATTTAGTTTCTTACACACACTTGTTTAATTATGATCAAATTAAAAAATTAACAGTATGGTGCAAATTGACTAATTATGAGAGTTGAGGGGGGAAATTGACCAAATTAAAGTTGAAGGGGAAATTGACTAATTATGAGAGTTGATGGGGAAATTGGCCAAAATTAAAGTTGATGGGGGAAATTAGCCAATAGTCACAAGTTCAGGGGTGAAATTGATGAATATATCAAAATTTACCAAAATTTACAGCAATTTCACAACCAAAATTTAAACCAAAATTTAGAGCAATTTCACAACCAAAATTTACCTATAATATATCAAAACGAAGCTTAGGATAGAAGGAATAAGATTATACCTATTTCAAGGCCAAAAGTTGGTCGTAGGTCGTCAGAAAATGGCCTGAAAGTGACGGCCCGAGTTTGAGTTCTTTGTTTTCGTCGGTTTTGAAGTGAATTTGGGCATGCAAGCTTAGACCTGTGGCCTAGGGGTAGTGGGAAGTCGTCCTACGCCCTCAACTCAACCAAACCAACGAGGTTTGGCCCTGTTTTGCTTGGAAATCCTACAAACTCGCTGGAAAAATGGTGAGTTAGATAAACACTCTTCGAAACGCACATAAACTTGCATGTAAGCTTGTAAAACGCACTAGAAAAGTCCAGAAATTTAGTTTTAGAGGAGGGAGGTTCACCTGGGTTCGAGCTTTGAGAGCTATGGAGCTCTCGGCTTCAATGGTGCCAAGGTCCTCACGACAGCGATCTCACATGAAAGACCACCATTGTGATCCTTGCATCCCACAGACTTCAACTACGTAGAAAATAGGGCTTAGTTGTGAAGGTAAATGGGAGAGTGAGAGCTCTCTTCTCAAGAGTTTAGAGAGAGAGAAGTTTTCAGAAAAATAAGGGAGTGCAGTGAGAGAGGTGAGAGAGACGGGAGAGAGAGAGGTGAGAAAGAAGGACTGGCCAACAATAGAAGAAAACCATGGGGAAGTGTTGTGATGGAACAAGTGGGATTTTAAAATCCAAAAGAAAAATTATTTTAATGGCCACTTGTCTACAACCCATGTGATGTTCAATTTTTCAAACCTACGCATGCTTTTAGTTTACACGAGGGTCATCAAACAGACAAGGCCAAGGCAGCCTACTGCACAAAGCCACAGTTAAATTTTAAAATTATCCCGATAGTTTTACATAGTTTCGAGGCAAACAATTAAACTGAGTTAGACTGACACGAGAGCTTAGGGAAAATAGTTTGAAGACTACACTATGTCATGTGATTCTTGGTCAGGGTCTGTTTGATTATCAAACGTAAGACATATATACATGATACTTGTGGAACATAACATTGTTTTTTATATCATAACGAGGGATAAAGAATGTCAAGTTTGGTGTACGAAGAATTGTCTGGGGTATAAAGCAATAAACTTCCAAGTGATGCACTCTTGTTAAGTTTGAGGATAGGTTAATGACAGCGCTCCTAGATAAATATGCTCGCAAGGTCGCACATCCCTTATTCTGTATGAGGAGGTAAATTATAACAAATGTGAATTAGATGAGCTAATTGAGATGATGTCAACACCCTATGTGGGTGAGCGGGAGATGTATGATTTATATAACCATGTATTATATAAAACACAATATTAATCCACCCAATATAGGGTGTGTTATTGATACCCTTTTTTCTTCCCCTCTTAGCCACTATATAAATATGATTTTGTGAAAAGGCGAAAACACACCAAGAGAAACAATTCTATTAGCTCTAGAGAGGAGAAAAAAAGCTCTCTCTCCACTCTTTGGAATCTTTTTTTCTCTTAGTTTAGCCTCTAGGGTATCACCTTGGCCCTAGAATGCCACTAAAAACTGCGATTGTTTGAGAATGCACAAGGTATGTAGGCAATCTAGCCTGACTAGATGCAACCAAATCTTTTCTTTGGTGACGCTCTTATTCGTAGTTCATGCAAGGAATCAAATTCCTTTATATTATTTGCATACATTGCCAACAATTTTGTTCTTCCCTTTAAAGGAAGAAATATCAACCTGGAGAGCAGACATGAAGGCTTTCTTATCTGTTGGACCGCACAACACATTCCCAGAAATCACATTGGTGTGTCCAAATTTTTGGATGGAGACAACTGTGCCATTTGGAGTTGTGCTATGACTATTAGTCATAGTTCCAAGACCAAGATGGGCACCACTATAATCGTCAGCGACCGCCTTATCGCATGAAACCCCGTCTTTTTGTCCTCAACTGCAGAGAGAAATATTCCATTAGCGATGGACACATCAAGTTGGAAATCACTCCTTGCTGCTTAACCTTTTTTTTTGTTCGTTCTTCGGTGGAGATAAATTCCTTAAAAGTGTTAGGCCAATTAGTGAGGTCTTAAAAACTTAAGATTTAAAAGCTTGCAAGCTTCCGCCTCAAGGGAGAAGCCTAGGTTGTGTGATTTATGTTGGCAAGGTGTCCAGACACTAGACATTGTACCACTAGATATTGTAGAATTTTTGGAAAGTCACTACTGTCTTTAAAAACAAAGAAAATACAACAGTATATCGATCTTCAGTAGAAGAAGAATATTGTTCTCTAAACCAATCCCTTTTAGCTAGACTAAGATGTGTCCATATAGGGATTCATCATAACTCTATAAATGACATGGTAGTAAACATTAACTTCAGTATCTCTTCGCACCATCACTTAATATTAATGACATCATCAATTAAGGGTTGTGATGTCATCATTGAATTTGGTGATCTAACGAGTGACCACTTTTCAAACTTTATGTAACTATTTAGAATATTTTAAAAGATATAAATACAAATGTTATGTAGCTATTTGGAATCACTCTAAAGGTTGAATAGTATTGTACGTAATTTGTTTTTATATATTAGGTTTGTGTTGACCCTAAAAACCACCAAGCCTACGTGGTGCGCAGGTCGAGTAATCTACGAGCTAACTACGTCATTCGGTGAATGTGGGGCGTGCCAACTCGTTGGTCGAGCTCGGCTGAGGAGTAAAATTTGTTGATGTTGCGTTTGGTGCGCGGCTGACTTTTGCGTCTTGCGATTGCGGCCGAGGAAGGAACATGTCTCGACCTCTTGGGTTCTCGAACCTGAAGACAAGGCTACTATTCTTACGAAGTTCACGAATCGTCGTCGTCGGATTCGGTCACAGTGATGGTATTCGTCAGAGTAAACTCACGTTGAATCGACACCAAAATGTAAGGGCATAAATACTCAAAGTGGATATAAGTCTTAATAGTGAACGTGGTTCGGCCGTTTGAATGCCGAACTCTAAATCCCACTTGAGAGTATCCAATCATAAAATAGCTCGGCGTGCAATGCGCCGAGCTCAGTAAGCTGTAACACCTCACTTCGCCGAGAAGGCTAATAAGATGACCTCGATCAATAAAGATTCTGAAATCCTTTTCAATCGAGACTTGGATAGGCAACCAACCGTCCTCGCCGCATTGCTGTTGATGCCAACGGAAGATGCTGCGAGATCGGCTGATTCTACGGCGACAGAGCTATCTATGCCGACTGAAGATATCACCAGCTGCTTTCACAGTGCTGTTGATGCCAACGGAAGATGTGTCAGCGAAAAGAGAAAAAAAAAATCTCAAAGTTGTTGAGAGAGTTTGCGCAGGGCAGTTGTGTGTTGAATTGGAGGTCCCTCTTCCGTTGCCTCTGCCTTTGTATTTATAGGGACATATGTGCGTTGGTTGATAAGCTGATATAGGCTTCTCCCATGTATTAGAACTCTTCCACTGATTCGTCAGATAAGCCATACTACCCCCAAGACTCTGAATCTAGTCGAAAATACAACCAAATTCGAATCCCAAGATAACCCGCAAGCTTGGACTTTGAACAAATAGTGTTTATCTAAACAGCTACCAATTATATATATATATATATAATTATATACATATATAATTGGTAGTCTTCCACACGGCATACACCACTGTAATCCCACCATAAATTCTGATGACTTTGCACCCAATCCGACAACACCATCAACATGCTTTTGAAAAGCCTAGCCTAGCTAGGTTTCCTATGTCATCATTATCCAGGACCCCTTATTTTTCTTTAGATGATGTCAGATCCCACGTGCTGATCTCCTAGCAACCCAAGTTAATTCGAACTCGAACTCTGTGTGTGTTGCTTCCTTTTATATCCCGTCGTATAAGAAAAGAATGAATCACATTGAAAGATAATTATTATGATAAAAATCATAACATTATCCCTCAATAATTACAAAATTATCTTCACTCTTCGATCGACGGTGTAGAAACACGCTTACTCAACGGTCTTGATTACTTGGACCGATGATGTAAAATTGGGTCCAAAACAGTTTGAAATTCATGTTAGGTTTGAAATTCTTTTCTGTAAGGTGGAATGTTAGGAAGGACTTACATTGAACAGTGGGGTATTATGGTGATTCAATTCAAGGACTCGTTTGGAAGTGTTTTTAAAATGACTGAAAGCATTTTTAGTGAAAATGTTTTTTGAAATCAATCTTTAGTAAAAATCCAAGTAGATCCTGAAAAAGCACTTTAAGTGCTTCCTGCAAAAAAACACATATCTGGTGCTTCTTTCGAAAAGCACTTAAAGTACTTTTACAACTCAAAACTAATTTCAACAAAAGTACTTTTCAATCATTTTAAAAGCACAT